TCAATCCAGCAGTCCCACTGCTGGGTATCTACCCAAAGGAATAGACGTCATTACATCAAAAAGATACTTGCACACATGTCTTTATTGCAGCACAGTCACAGTTGTAAAGATATGGAACCAACCTAAGTGCCCATCAACCAATGAGTGGATAAAGAAATTGCAACAACTTGATTGGAGCAGGAGGCCATTATTCTAAGTGAAGCAACTCAGGAATAGGAAACCAAAAACTGTATGTTTTCACTTATAAGTGGGAGCTAAGCTACAGGTACACAAAGGCACACAGAGTGATATAATGTACTATGGAGACTCAGAAGTGGGAGAAGATCAGGAGTGAGGGATAAAAATTACATATTGGGCACGATATACAGTACTTGGATGACGGGTGCACTAAAATCTTGGACCACAGTACAGTTCATCCATGTAACCAGAAACTACTTGTACACCAAAAGCTATTAAAATTTAAAAAAATTTTTTTTAAGATTTATTGCTTCCAAAAGACACTATATACTCTCTCCCTCTCTATATAAATGTATACACACACACACACTATATACTATAGTTTATAACTTAGAAGAGAAAATTAAACATTAAACATTTAGGTTCTTAATTATACAAGGTTTGTAGTTCTACTAGAGCTGTACTCCTCATCTAGCTTCCCTGGAGGATTTTTGTTAGATTTTTTTTTTCTGTTTATGAAAGGTATTGGTAACCGACACATACGTGTTTGCCCTGGTTTCTGTGGTTATTTCTATATTATACCTATTAGAATGCTAGCAGATCTTTCTGATTTGTACTAAGCTAAAGATTCCACTGAAAATTTTTTTGAGTATCTTCAGTTTATATTACTTATGTATATGCACGCATATATATATAATACCTTTACATATAAATTTTTACAATTGTGAGTATATTGATTTCTATTAAATATGTTTATTTTAAAAACAAATGGAAACACAAAGAAGAAAATAACACTTATCCACATCCTCTCACCCTTAATTAACTGTTATTAACTGCATATTGCTTTTAGAGGAGCAGAGATCACTCTATTAATTTTGTAAAACTAATATGCATATACTTATACTTAATTTAAACCATGGAGAAGAGCACAAAGATGAAAGTTTAAAAAGCCTCCACTTAGAAATAATATTAGTTAACTTTATTATCATCAATTTAACAACAGTCTAGATAGCATTTTAAGTAGGAATGATAGAAGAATACTTTTGTGAAGATAAGATCATATTCTGGAGGGTTTTTTAAAGTTCACATTTATTTAAATTTAATGAAAGAAAAGGAGATAAAACTGAAGAAATTGGGGAACTTGAAACATGTGTCTCTTTACCACAAGAAATATTTTCCTTCAGTTTTGTAAGTTTTGGCTTCATGTTTTTTTGGGCTTTTTTGTTGGGTGCATGTATGTTTATAATTATTTTATTTTATTGATGGATTGACCCTTTTATTATTATCAGACATGCTTTATTTCTAGTAATAATTTTTATCTTAAAGTCTGTTTTGTCAGGGCCGGGCGCGGTGGCTCAAGCCTGTAATCCCAGCACTTTGGGAGGCCGAGGCGGGTGGATCACGAGGTCAAGAGATCGAGACCATCCTGGTCAACATGGTGAAACCCCGTCTCTACTAAAAATACAAAAAATCAGCTGGGCATGGTGGCGCGTGCCTGTAATCCCAGCTACTCAGGAGGCTGAGGCAGGAGAATTGCC